AAAGATTGCGAATACCCATATTCTATAGTGAGATATTTGAATATTGATGAGTTTAATACAATGAAAATATTAACTCAATTCTAAGCTGAAACTATCTTTGTCTGAAATAAGTCTCTAACTGACTAGAAATGTTGGGAAAAGCCCTAGATAACTCTAGCAAAAATTGAAAATAAATGACTTAAACAGTGAAATGAACTAATGACTATTGTCCTCAGAGAATGAGGACTCTCCACTAAATCTTCTGAATAGGAGATCCAAAATCGATGTAAGTGCGATCTTGAAGCTGAGAACGTGAACCTACATCACGAGAAGATGTAGTGTATGCATGCGTAAGTACTTGAAGGTATCAAGCATATAGGATTGAGTAAAGCTAAAATAAAACATAACGGAACAAGCACAAAATTAAGTATGATATACTGAATTTTGAGCTAAATAGATACAATGACCAAATATATAACATGGTGAGACTAAATACTAACTGATATGTAAATATGGTCAACGAATAAGAGTCTGACTGAACTGTGAGAGATACTAATAACCGATAATAAAACCACATGATTTAAATGTGGAGTCTGATGTATACGCCCCATCAAGAAGACCTAATATACCCTGCCAGAGATATAAAGATATGCTGGTGTGATCACTAAAATGATGCCCACAGAGGGGACTTACAACCTACTTGGCTAGTAGTTATGGGACTAATTTGGTACGCAGAACCATAGTCCTACTTGGTACTATGCTTCTCCAAATGAATTATGTAATTAACGGATTATTATTTAGTTTCTGTAAGTACAAGATAGCTCAAAACTGAACATGACAACTGCGAATGCAATATTTAATATGAAAATGATGCATTAATAATTGAGGCATCTATAACTGAATAACTGAAATATTTAACCTAGCATGTGTAATTCAAGAACTAAAGATACATAGCTTGGGTTCTAAAATTCATGCGATAAACTTAATTATAACATGTATATCTTATTTGGAACATCTAACAAATTGATTCATGAAGTTCTGTTGAAGTTCTATAAATCCTCGGTCTAATCATGATATGAGAATTAAGAATCTGACTGAAAACTAGGGACCCAATGGGTGAAAAAAATCCACTAGTCAAATCTCATATACCTGATGATAAAATCCACAGAGATTTAGGGGCTAGAACTAAGGAAATCTTGATGCCTTGTTAAACTAGGGTTCTTGACCTTTTCACCTTTCTTGCTTATAATTTTCTACGTTTTGATTAAATGATTTGACTTAGGTAAGTTTTTGTTATTTTTATAGACTTAAACTGACTAAAATATGATGATTTAGGGTCAAAATGATGTATCTTAGGGTGTAAACAAAGTGGAAAAAGACCAAAATACCCCTGACATAAAAGCTATCGAAGTCATTGACGGACCGTAAGTCGGCTGACGGTGCATACAGGTTTGCCGTTGCTTGCGACTGAGAGTTGCAAGTCAGCTGGCAAATCAATAGAGTCAACTGACGGACCGTAAGTCGACTGACAGACCATACTGGTTGACCATTGTTTGTGAGTGAGATTTGTAAGTCAACTGGGGAATCGACGGACTTGACTGATGGACCGTAATTCAACTGACAGTCCGTATGGTTGACCGTCATTTGTGACTGACAATGGAAGTAAGCTGATCAATCGATGGAGTCGACTGACGTCAACTGATGGTCCATACTAGTTGACCGTCATTTGTGACTTGGAACTCAGAGTCAGTTGGACCATCAACGGAGTCTACTAACGGACCGTAAGTCGACTTACGGACGTAGTTGTCTCCATCACTGACACCTAAAACTTTTGAAAATATGCATTTTTGTACTTTTTTAGATACGGGGTGTTACATTATCTCCCCCTTGGGACCATCTGTGATCGAATGATGACTAAACTAGCTTATATAACGGGAGAGAGCTGCAATCCCTACTACTAAACACTGAGGACTGAGTTTTGACTATATTGAGTTCCAAGAACATGAAAATATGATAGAAATGCAAGTACAAACTGAGAGAACACGATTCTAAGGCTGAATTGATACATGAATGACTGAAAAATTAAAGAAGAACTATTACCTCAAGTTGAAGTGGAATCGGAAGGAAAGACATGAGAATACTTGGCTTGCATGGCTGCTTCTGCTTCCTAAGTGGCTCTCTCTACGAACTAACTCCTCCACAAAACCTTGACTTAAGCAACTTCTTTGTTTCTCAACCTTTTAACCTGAAGGTCAAGAATCTCAACTTGTACATCCTCATAAGAAAGACTATCTTTCATCGCCACATTCTCTAATGGCACTACAGAGGCTAGATCACCCACACACTTCTTCAAGAGTGAGATGTGGAAGACTAGATGTGCTGCTACTATTTCTACTGACAACTTTAAATCATATGCCACCTTACCAACCCTTTGCAAGATCTTGTAAGGTCCCATATATCAAGGACTGAGCTTCCCTTTCTTTCCAAATCTCATCACCCCCTTCATAGGCAACACTTTCAGGACAGCCCAATCATCAACTTAGAACGCTAGTTCCGCTCTCCTTACATCTTCATAATATTTCTGATGACTTTGGGCTGTCTTGAGTCTATCTCTAATGAGTTGGACTTTTTCCATAGCATAAAGGTCTGAATTTGGCTCTATCAATTCTGCTTCACCTACTTCAAACCAATCAACAGGAGATCTACATCAATACCCATAAAAAAGCCTAATAAGGGGCCATCTGAATGCTGGAATTGTAGCTACTGTTGTGGGCAAACTCAATAAGAGGAATGTGATCATCCCAACTACCCTTGAAATCGATCAAACAAACTCTCAACATATCCTCTGGGGTCTAAATTGTACGACTACTTATCCATAGGTCAGCGGATGAAATGTCCTTCTAAGGTTAACCTGAGTACCAAGACCATTTTGAATTGACTTCCAGAAATGAAAGGTTAACTGAGGACCTCTATCTGAGATGATAGACAAAGGAACCCCATGTAACCTCACAATTTCATTAATGTAAAGCTTGGTATATTCCTCTGCCGAATCTGTAGTCTTGACCGCTAAAAAGCCAGAAGACTTAGTCATCCTATCAACTATCACCCAAATGAAGTCATGCTGTCTGCGAGTACGAGGTAAGCCTGTGATGAAATTCATATTGATCACATCCCACTACCAAGTAGGAATATCGATTTTTGGAGTAAGACCTCCTGGTTTCTGATGTTCTACCGTGACATGCTGGCAATTGGGACACTTACTCACAAAGTCTCCTATACCCCTATTCATGTCATTCCACCAATACACATCCCGCAGATCGCGGTACATCTTAGTGACACCTGGATGAATAAAATATCTGGAGTTATGGGCTTCTGCAAGAATATGTTATCTTAACTCGCCCACATTAGGAACACACAATCTACCCTGGTAGCGAAGTATACCATCTCCCCGTTAGGAGAAAACCTCCATTCTCTAATTGTTGCACCCTTAAGTTCAAGCAAGAATGGATCACTGTCTTGCTTTTCCTTAACCTCCATGATCAAAGAAGATTATGCCCCATTCTGAGCTGTTACACCACTGTTTTATATTCTCATAAGGTGAACTCCCAAGAAAGAAAGCATGTGAACATCCTTCACTAGCTCCTTCCTTTCTTCCTAATCATGGGCTACACTACCCATATGTAATCTGCTAATAGCATCTGCTACTACATTCACCTTACAAGGATGATAATGCACACACATATCATAATCCTTAAAGAACTCAAGTCATCTCTTCTTACGAAGATTGAATTCTTTCTGGGTGAACATATACGGAAGGCTCTTATGTTCCGTGAACACATCTATATGAACACCATAAAGTAATGTCTCCATATCTTGAGTGTGAACACCACTAGTACGAGCTCAAGGTTATGGATTGGATATTTCTTCTCAGGAACCTTAAGTTGACTAGAGGCATAAGCTATAACCTTATTTCACTATATCAACACACAACCTAGGCCAACTCTTGATGCATCACAATAGATCACAAAACCATCTGAACCCTCTAATAGAGTCAAGACAGGATTTGTAGTCAATCTAGTTTTAATTCTGCAAAGCTTTTCTCTGAATCATCTAACTATTGAAACTTCACCATCTTCTAAGTTAACCTAGTCAATGGTGAGGCTATGGATGAGAATCCTTTCACGAACCTTCTTTAATAACCTGATAGACCTAAGAAACTTCTGATATCTATAGCAGAGGTAGGTCTCGGACATTGTTTCACTACTTCTATCATCAGTAAATCCACTCGTATCCCTTCTCTAGATACAATGTGACCAAAAAAAGCAACAGATTTCAACCAGAACACACATTTGCTAAACTTAGCGAATAACTGACGATCCTTGAGAGTCGCATATTCTTTTTTATTCCTAGAATAAATGAGGATATAATCAATAAAGACTGTTAATAACCAATTTTGACCTACCTTTAACCATATTTAGGAATACTATCCGATTAAATGCGTATTTAAAAATTTATTTAAAGTTTAGAATTTTTGTTGATTTTCCTTGAAAATTACGTATATTAGTATGTTTACTTTATAAAATTATTGTAAATATTATTAAAATATTTTGAAATTATTAATGAGTTTTGAATGTTTTAAAATTTAAGTGATTTTCAATTATATAAAAAAATTAATTAAATAGTAATTCCTAAATTTTCCTCAAAATCATTTAAATCTTAACGTATTCTATTCTAATTTCATTCAATTCTAGCCACTCCAATTCAAATTTTATTTCACTTATATACATCCTCTTTTATTCTAATTCTAGCCAATTTATTGCAATTTGGGTCATTCCATATCCAACCAAATATCATTTCAATATATCTCATCTTTCAATCTTATCTATCTATTCAATTAATTGAATCCCAGCCCCTTATCTCTTCTAAAATCGATGGTCCTATTTAATCTACCTATTCTATCCTAAAAGAACCTAATCTCTAAAAAAAATTCATTATTCCTCTCTATCCTTGGCAGTAGCAGCCCCCTCTCCCTCTTCTCACTCTCGTCTTTCTCTCCTCCCCCTTTTTTCTCTCCCCCACTCTCTCTCTCCTCATTTTCCTCTTCTCCTCTCTCACCCTCGCATCTCTTCTCTTCCCCTTCTTCTTCTCTTTTCAATTTTTCTTAATGCAGGGAATCAACAACAACTGCAGGCGAATTCCTCTGCTCACCAGCAACACCAGTAGCTTGACAGCACCGATGGAGGATGCTCCGAACGGCTGCTCCCTCCGCCTCGCCGCCCTCTCCTCCTCCATCCTCCCTCCCCTATCGCTTCCTCCTTCTCTTTTCTTTCTCTCCAATCTCCCCTCCCTCCTCTTCCTCCTCCTCCTTCTTCTTCTTTTTTTCTCTCTTTGTAGGTCAAGTAGCATCCCACTGGAAAGCAACCACTGGCGACAGCGGCTCCGGCAGAGATGAGCAGGACAACCAGCGAAAACAAGCGAACTACGACAATGTATTCAAAAGTTTCAAGGGGGGTTAAGGACAAATTTTTAACAAGATTTGTCCAGGTATACTTCTTTCGAATTATTACCTCATTTTTGTGGCATTGTTATTCTTTTTATTTTCAAGTTGGCTATGCATATTTCTGTCTCAAATTTAATTATTATCTTGTCTTATTCATACTCTGCAAATTTTCTAATATTGTCTGTTTCAAAAATATTACTAATTGTTATTTGGAATGTAAATACTACTCTATGTTACTTGCTTCTATCTACTCATTACTTTATTCTATTTTTTTTATGGTATTGATGTAGTTGGTTCTTGATTTAAAGTTGATAATTTGGACTGATAAAATTGTTTTCAAGAATACTAAAAATAGGATTTCATGACTTGTGACTTGTATCCCCTCAGTTTAGTAATTGTTGTATTTAGGATCCGTTAATTTGTCATTTTTGTTTGTATACGGTAAAAATAAAAATAAAATATGAGAAACTGTATCCGAAAATTGATTTGAGTTGTGATATTGTCTTTTCTTAAATATTTCTCCTTATTTATGTGTAATGATTGTTACTTGACCCATTTTCAATAAAAAAATTTGTTTGGGTAGGGTAAATCTGATTATGTTTTCCTCGTAATTAAGGAAATAATATTAATTGATCCTTTTTCCTTATTTGAAAATTGACGGATTTCTTAGTAAATGTAAAATAATATTGTTTTGGGTCTTCGTTATTTAAGGAAAACATTTTACTCTTATTTGTCTATATTGGGTAAAAAAATAATTTTTAAAAAAATCTTATTTGACTCTTGTTTATTTAAGGGAAAATATCATGTTTCTTTCTATTTGTTACTTCTTACATTTTTATACTTGGTAATGGTATATTCTAATTTTTTTTGATTTGGCTATCTTTAGAATAAGGAAAATGATATATTAATTGATTCCTTTAAATATCTCTTTTCCTTATTTTTTCGTCCCTTTTTGCAATATAAAAAGGACCCCCTCCTGTAATTCTCAACACTAACTCATTCATTCACATTCGACACAAGTTCTACTCATTCATTGACACTCTCACATTTTGAAAAGAACTCACATTCTCTCATTGCTCATCCCCTCTAATGCTTAGACTCATACTTGAACAATTAAACAATTTGAAAAAGGTTGTCTATTCCTAGAAGAAAGGAAGACTCTCGCATACTTTGAGAATTATTTTGTTGTGTTGCTGTCGTGGATTGAAAACATTACTAAAATTAATCATTGCCGATAAAATTTTCTGCATAATTGGTTAGTGCTCTTATTAGTTTAAATTTGATTTTTTGCATAATTATAAATATTTGTGTGAAGGAAAATGAAACAACATGGAAGCATCCAAGTTAGTTTCATTATCCTTTTACATGTGATAATATAACTATGGTTATTCTTTATCTCTTTTCTATGTTATTTACATATATAGGATAGTAATTGGTTATTATGAACATTTGTTGTTGCGATTATTTTTTTCATCGTATATGTGCTACATCCCTTCTAAAAGGTTTGAATTTAGAGTTCAACATGTTGAAGAGTCGTCTAAAACAAAAATCCGGATGAAGATATTTATTTTATTGTTGTATATTTGTTTATTATGTTTTTTGTTGTACTAATTGTAAAACTCTCTAACTCTATATATATGAAATCAATTTGGGGGATCCGCTAAAGAGAGGGGGAATTATATATGCTAATTTGCAAACTTATTTGTGTTAGAAAACATGTCTATATGATTGTAATTTGCTTGATTAAACTGCTTATCCCTAACTAAAAAGGAATTAAATAAATAAAATAAATCATCTTTGTTTAATCAGTTGGTTAATCTTGTCTAACTAATGGTTTTTAGTTAATTTTATTAGAATTTGCATTTTAATGATTTGGTTGTGACTATAGATCTCTTCTTCATTTGTTAGAATATTAAATAATTGGTGTGCAACTTTTTGTACAAAGTTATTCTATTAAATAAATATTATGTCTATAGAATTTACGTAAATAATTTTTGAACACCTAGAAATCATGCCTGAATTGGTTAGTGAGTTGGAGAGCTACATCCCCAAGCTACACTATAGAAGAGTATGTTGGGAATTCCCTAGCGGACAATGGATTAAATGTAACACAGATGGTGCATCAAGAGGTAATCCAGGTAAGAGTGGTGCTGCTGTGGTGCTTAGAGATGCTGCTGGTGATTTTCTGTGTGCTGCTACCCATTCAAACTAATATGTATTCAGAGATAATGGCTATTCAGTTAGCTGCTGAAATCTGTGTGTTAAGTGTTTTTAATAACTTTTGCATGTTTAAATATGAGATAAATTTGTAAATGTTTTTTGATCATTGTAAATAACAATAAATCTCCGCATTTATTATTTATGCATGTGTTTATCCTAAAATCTGCAAAATAATTAATATTTTTGCATCATAGTTAACCCCTTTCTCATATAAAATTTTCTATTAATTAAATCTTTGCATCTAATAAATCGGCTACCTCATAAACAAATTTCCGCATCTAATAAAATGACTATCTAAGAAATATTTCTGCACTAATCAAAATCTGATTTCTAATTGTTGCACTATAATTATTTTTTTCTTAAAAATATATTTTCAGCATCAATAAATAATATATAAATCTTTCACTGTTCTAATAAATAAATTTTTGCATTAATAATATATTTTTCACTTGTCTAAAGCAATTTGTTGCATTAACAATCATTTTATAGTTGTTCATAAAAAAATAATTTCCTACCTTAAATTAATACAAGTCGTTCTAAATAATTTTTTGCATTAATATTAAATTTGCTTGTTTTAAAAAATATATAGGCATGTGTGATCGCTTCTTTGCTATTTAGAATCAAAAGATAAAAATCATTTATTAATTTTTGTCCACTTTAAATTAGTTGAACACTAAAATCTGCATTCATGTCATTATATTTGCCCTCTCGTAATTAACTTTTGTTATTATAACTTTGTATATTTGTATATTCACACACTTAGAATGAAAACGTATCCTGATTAAGTGTTATTTTCAAGCATGTTCATTAAAATTTAGAGGCCGAATTGAAACCTATCGTGCTAAAATGACCGTCTTGTTTGTTTGACTTGGTGTCTAGGAGGGTCTAGATTTTGTTTTGTCTAAGCCCACCCTATGAAGAGCCTAATCCTCTTGGACATTAAATTGGGATGAGTAGGCACCTTTTATATACGAAATGCATGCGGTGGTGGGGTAGCGCAAGTTGGCCCTATGAAGATGATGAGATCCACTCGGGCTTGAAAGACAAACCTTTGTTTTTTCTATCCCTACACGGCAGTCTATCAGAAAATTAAAAAAAGTCAAGTGCTGATCCAAACCTTCCCTTTTATCCCTTTATTTGCTTGTTTTAGTTATGTTTATTTGGGGAAGCTTAAAACAAAAAATATAATTTTTTTCCCTTATTCATTTGTCTCTTCTATATCCTCTTGCTTCTCTCTTTATTAATTGCTTAGTATACATATTTTATTTACTTAGACTCGCATGCTTAAATATTAATTAAAATAATAAATATGAGCTAATTACCTAGGTGAATTCTTGTCACCTTGGAGCTTCGGGATTTCTCAGATTCAGATTGGGCGAATGATAAAAATGACAGAAAATCTACATCGGGGTTTCTCGTTTTTTTTTGGGCCGAACCTGATCTCCTGGTGTACAAAAGAACAACCCAAGATCTCTCGGTCCTCGACTGAAGCTGAATACCGCGCCCTTGCTCTTCTTGTTGCTGAGACCATGTGGGTCACATATATTCTTCGCGAACTCCGCGCCACTCACACTGTTCCTGCTCTCTATTGTGACAACAAATCAACCATCTGTGTGGCCAAGAATTCCGTCCTACACACCAAAATGAAGCATGTTGATACCGATTATCTTTTTGTTCACGATGAAGTTCAGGCCGGCACCATGACTGTGCAGTATGTACACACTGAAGAACAACCGGCTGATATTCTTACCAAGCCTCTCCCGAGCCGACAGCACGATTACCTCAGTTCCAAGCTTCCGTTCGCTTCCGCTCAGCTCAGCTTGAGGGGGATAATAACATATAGTATTAAATAAATAGTATTAAATAATATTAGTATTTACTGTGTACTAATCCAAGTCCTATTAGGATTAGTACTCCTTAATCCTAGTCCTATTAAAATTAGTACTTCTTCCTATATCTCCTATATATATCTCCCATGTATTAGCTTATTAGGTTAACACTTCAATACAATCAATATTCCTTCAATAACTCTAAATTCAAGATTTAAAGAGTCTAAGCACATCTCAGAAGCATTTGACAAAGAAGAAACCAATAATTATGTTAACTTAAAGTCGTATGTATAAGAAATAGTCACCTATAAAGTAAAAAATGATTCAGGAACATTGAATTACATCAAGTGACTTTGACTTTGTGATCATCGAGCACTTGATAATTGTTCAGTACTTTATGTCTGCACTACTTTCTAGGCAAAAGCTGCTAAGGAGGAAATGACACCCTGAAAGACCCATCATTGTTTTCTAATACTTTAATGGTTCTCCTATATTTAATTTAATGGAGTCCGTGATGTAATTACAGTGTCATGGATATAAAAAAATATTTTACTTGTAACCATGTATAATGAGTAAATATCTTGTTTTGATTTGTATGTAATGAATACTCACCAATTAGCCTGCAGTCTTTTTATTTGATTTAACTTTCACACATTAATTTTTTATGAGTAATTTACATCAAAACTAAGGTAAATAAATATAGTTTCAACGAACAACATCAATATCTCTTGTAAAAAATAAATTAACTGAGAAACGAGAAAGAGAATTCCTAGAAATTTACAATTGAAATAAAAACTTACCTCCAATGTCAATAGCCAAAAGTAAAATTTCATCACCAAATTACTGAACCAACTAAAAACTTGAACCACTCTTCTCTAATTTCTCTTTAATTTTCCCTCCTCCCATTTATGATTCTCTTTCAAATGAAATACTCAATAAGTGTAACTAATCAGCAAATGTGCAGGAACTAACAGAGACCTAGAAAGGTGACTGTTAATAGAGAAAGAATAATAGAAAACTCACGATTAAGAACAAAGAAGGCAGTAAACATAAGAGATGTTTGTGAACTTGAAGAGCTATGATGATGGAATTAATGTAGAGTGGATTTTAAGGAAATGTATGATGAATAAAACTCATTGCACTTGTCGTGAATAAAGAAAACTATGATTGCCTGAAAGTGGTAACATTTGATTCTATTGATCTATTAGTAGAGAAAAAAAACTATTCAAAAAAATAAAATTGACCTAATTGATGTGAGTTCGAAGAACATCCACCACACGAATAACAAAGAATGTTTTGTTGAGGAATTGTCAAAAGGTATTAATGTCCCTTAAATCAACTTAGCAAGAGTGGTTAGTTAAATATTAGTTAATTTACTGATGAGCTGTCAGAGTTAGTTGATGAGCTGTCAAAGTTAGTTACAAGAGTGAGTATAAATATAAATTACCTAGATTTTTTAGTTTGTTGTTAATTCATTACTTGCTTTGTAGAAACTTCTCTCATGATTATGCTTCCTTCTACTCTCTCTCAATAAACTTTCTTCTTCAATTTCAATTCCTGTTAATCAATTGGTATTGTTGCAATGGAGATTGAGTAAACTAATAATGTTCATATAAAATTTTGATGGTATTAGAGCAAGAGGCTTCATGCAATTGAGTGGATTTAGTGATTTTCTCGCATATTGAAGAAGATCAAGAAATCTTGCTTTACGTTTATCAATAGTAAACACAACAGCTGAAGTTGTGGTTTCAAATTCATCATTCTCAGGGATGAAGATTACAAATCATAATCATCCACTTCATTTGTCTTCTTGATATGTACCAGGAGCAGTACAAATTAGAATTCAACTTGTAGGCACAGAGAATTATTCATTGTGGAGCAGAGCTATGCGATTATCCTTAGTAACTTGTAACAAACTCGGATTTATCAATGACAGTTTCGTGAAAGAATATTTTGAAGCAAATTTGGACATGCCGTTGGAGAGATGCAATTTCTTGGTCGTATCATAGATAACTGGTAATGTTAGTGAATCCCTACTGAATGGAATTTTTTTTCAAATCTGATGCATGTTTGATTTGGAAGTATTTGCAAAAGAAAATTCATGTAATTAGCATGTCAAGAGTTTTTCAATTACAAAAGGAGATAATTACTTTGACACTGAGAGTAATGTTTGTTTCTACCTATTTCTCTAAATTGAAAGATTTGTGGGATGAATACGATTCCATTGTTGGTCCTCCCTTTTGTGAATGTGATAAATCAAAGATATATGTGATCCAACAGGAGAAACAAAGGTTATTACAATTTCTAATGTGATTAAATGATGGGTATAGTCAACCTAGGAGTCAGATTGATGATGATAACCACACCAACATTTAATCAAGTATATGCTATGATCATACAAAATGAAAGTCAGAAACACATTGCAAGTGGTAGTCATGCTGGAGGTGATATTTTAGAACCCACAACCTTATTCACTCAGGAAGGAGGTAGAGGTGGACATAGGTCACCTCAATAATAAGGAAAAGGATACAATTTAGTGTAATGTAATTTTTGAAATATGAAGGGTCATTCTAAAGAACAATGCTTCAACCTGTTGACATGCGATTACTGTAATATCAAAGGACACATCAAGGAGAAATGTTACAAATTGATAGGATCCTACAAATTTCAAAAGAAAGAATAAAGTTCTGTTGGTACCGCGTGGAATGGATCAACAACTTCCACATGCTCCTCATGGTAAACATTCACACCAACATTATCAGGATTCTTTACATCAGAACAAAACAGGAATTCAACCACCACAACAATAATTTTTTACTCCTGAAAAATATAATCAACTCATTGGAATGATTGAAATACCATAGTAAGTGAACCAAGTGCTAATCTTGCAGGTAATGCTCTTGTTTTACACAAATCATTAGATAAACCTAAATGGATTGTAGATACAGGGGGACTAGTCATATAATTGGTAATCACAATTTATTGAAACACGATTCATCAGTAGGATATAATGGGACTGTTCAGCTTTCCAATGGTGAATCAGCTGTAGTGTCACAAGTAGGGGATTATCAGCTATCAGGAGGTGCTTTAATTAATAATGTAGAGTTTAAGTTCAATCTATTGTCAGTTTCCAAAATGACTAGAGAACTAAAATTTTATGCAATATGCTTTTCTGAATTTTGTTTATTTCAGCATCTCCTCACTAGGAAGGTGAAGGATATTGGTAGAGAGGAAGATGGATTGTATGTACTTGATTGACATAGGAGAGGTGATATAGGAGGAGTCACACAACCTATGATAGTGAGAGGAAGTCCTAATATTGAGCTTTGGTAT